GTTCCTGTAATTACCCGGGCCCTGACAGGTCCTTGATTTACTGCCCTATTTAGATAAGGGGTCCGTTGCGGGGATTGCCCGTGGCGTCAAGGTCACGGGACTCGGCGGGAGAAGGTTTTGCGGTAGGCGCCGGGGCACCCGCTCTCCTCTCCGAGGCTTGCCAGTCCTAGGGTAGGCTTGACAGTAGGATAGGGGCGAGGTTAGGAGAAGGGACCCCTCTGTCACTGAAGAGCCCCGGGGAGACCGTCTAATCTCAAGTACAGCCGATCCACTCTACTGATGGAGGAACTGAGTCTTGGTGCTTTGGGGTAGAAATTCCCCTAAAGTCACTTGGCTAGGGATATAGGGGTAGAGGGTGGGATCTGAAACAGCAGCGTCTCTGGCAACACAATCCCCACACCAGGCAATGTGGGGTCTCTCCACGTCCAGCCTTATGGCAGCTAGCTTGTGTAGGATGGGTTAGAAAAGGGAAGGATCCCACCACGGACTGAAACTGGCAAGTCAGGTGGGAAGAAAGCACTGCAGGGGGAACTCAGCCACGAGCCTCTTCTCCCAGCCTCTTCTCCCAGCCCAGGGCTTTGTAGTCCTTTGGCCATGTGTAATGCAATTTCTTTTCCTGTGAAATTAATACTCCTAAGAACAGAGCCACGGTTTCCCCAGGTTTACTGTTACCTGCTAAGAGCCTTGCTTCATCTGAGGCCAGCCCTTTTCAGAAGATATGATTGTGCCCAGATTTACAGAGAAAACTGAGGTTCAGGTCATATATATATATTTTTTTTTTACAGGGAGAAAGGACAGTGCTGGGTTTCGAGCCAGGTGGGCCCAATTCCACCGCAGCCTTTTTCAAGCACTTCTTTAAGGCAATCCTTAAACATTTTTTGTGCCTCAGATCTACTCTGCAAAATGAGCTCCTGCCCAGGCTCACCAGCACAGTTGGAGGAAGCACTAAGAAGCCCGCATTTGAAAACGTGGAGGAGCCAAACCTCCCAGGAGGCACTTCATAGGTGAGCAAGGTGGGCTGGGTCAGGGGGCTGCCGGGAAGTATGCAGCTGGTCGGGGGAGTTGGCGAGGGAACCCAGGAGTCCCTTGCTCTTAGTCCTTGGTCTGTGGAGGTGGGCTGGAGGAGCGTGGAGCCTACCAGTTTGTGTGGCATTAGCGGGGCACACAGTCAGAATGCAGAGGGGATCAGGCCGTCTCTACTGCAGGGAACTGGGAATTACTAAACTCCAGATCACCAGTCTTAGGGCTTTTTTTGCAAATGAGGGAACTGAGCTGCAAGTGGGAGCTGGAAAGGGAAAGTGTGGCATTAGGCAGAGCAGATACACTGGCCTGTCAGCCTAAAGCAATTTCAGCCAACCCCCTCTGCCCCCCACCCCCAGGTCCCAGACCTCCCTCTGCCATATAGCACTGGGGCAAAGGGAGAGAGCACTCTCACCAGGTCCCCGTTGCCCTGGGAGTTTCCTGGTATTCCTCACCCACCTGAGCTGGGCTGGAGTAAAAAGTACTTTAGAGTCTCCTGGAAGACTGTGTCTGGAGCCTGGGTGCCTTGCGGTCTCCCCAAGTTCATCCTGTGCAGCTCTGAGCCACAGTGAATTCCTTAGGGCTGCACTCTTGGGCACAGTCGCCAGATGAAAGACTTCAAGTCCTCTCCTGGAGGCAGGGAACAGCATTTGTTTAGGCTTTAGCAACTGTGGGCGTTCTGCTCCTTAACACCCATGGGAGGCTGACAGGCATTCTCAAGGCCCTCAGGAGGTCTCATGGGACTGGGACGCTTCACCCAGGACTGATAATGCATTCCCTGCAACTTCCCGCAGACTGGAGATTTGGAGAGAGTCTACAACATGGACGATCGGGTGTAATGTTGGGAAAGCAACTGGGACCATGAGGATGGGTGTGCAAGCTGAGTGTAGGTGCATAATTGCTGTACCCATGAGTGTGCTTGCCCTGGCGGGTGCCTTACTAACATGCATACCATGGCGTACCTTCATTTCGAGAGCCTGTGAATCTGACTGTATAGTTAAGGCTGAGGACACACATCAGATGGAATGTTTGAACGTGTGTCTGTGTGTAATACACACAAATAGGAGAATGTCCAAACATTTGTGTGTGCAGAGTAGTCATTGTGGCAGTGTCTGTGGGACCGAAGGCGTGGTCGTGACACAGAAAGTACACAAATTCTTATACCTAGGGTTTCTGAAAGTTTGTGTTGTGCAGGCAATGGACGGCAAGTGGAAGAAAACACAAAGCCGTCCTGCCTGTGTGTAAGTGTGACGTGCAATTATGTGTAAAACCTTGCCTCTGTGTGGAGCTTAGAATTTATGTACCTCTACTGAATGACTGCGGTCTTTTTTTTTTTTTTAAGTTTATTTCTTCCGTGAGTGAGAGCACCCCAAGAGGGTTGGGACATGGTGATCCACCCTCCAGCTTTCAGGCAGCCCAGGATGGTGAGGGAGTATATGCCACAGGCCCAGGATACTCAGAGAGGTCTCTGGACTTGAACCTGGAACCCTCCCATGTGAGATTACCTCATAGAGGCTGTGTTTTACCACTGCCCCACTGCAGTCTTCATGCACCCTGAGCGTAGGGTTGGGAAAATGAACAGCAGGGAGCTGCAACGCTGAAGCCTGATGTGTTCCTGCCGGTGACAGTAAGATTATTCTAGGAATGCACGGAAATTGCGATGCTGTATGTAGCATGAGTGTGAATGCGTGTTACTGCGCGAACGCACATATTTGTGGTCGTCTGCGTGAATATACGGACTTCTGCGTGCCAGCGAGGTTGTGTGCCCGTGCGCACGTACATGAACGTGTAGTCGTAGGGCCTAGGGTGCCGCTGTGAGAGGCTGCGGGTGAAGGGCACGCCCAGATTAGACAAAGGCTGGGTGAACCCCAGTCTTCCTGCGTGCCCTTGTCGAAGACTGGGGTCCTTTTCCACAACGTAATTACTCCTGCTGCTCACACATCCTCACTCTGGAGCGCCTGGAGGTCGGTGTGGCGCGAGACCCCGCGGAGCCGCCGGTGGATCGGGCGCCGGGTGCTCCCTCCCAGCTAGCCTGCGGCTCCGCGCTCGGCCCAACCCCAGCGCTGCTGGCGCCAGGCGCAGGGGAGAGCGGCGGGTTTCCAGTCTGCTCGGGGCGGGAAACCAGGACCTCCCTTTGGCGCACCCGCCCTCCACCCCGGCACCTCTTGGGCCCGTCGCCCTGCCGAGTTCCCATAGGTGGAGCACGGGCTCAGGACTTCGCGTTTGTCACCTCTCGAGTGTGCCTCCACCCTCACCTCCCGCGCCACTCACAGCCTGCCCCGGGAGGAGAGTAATGCCACTTCTCCACTTACTGCTGGATCTGCGTGGGAATCGTGCATCCTCCCTACCTGCAAACCGAGACGGCCTTTCTCACTCCGCCTTTAGTAACCGGAATGGACATCGGTACATAATTGTTCACATGAGTGGATAACTAATGAATTCGCCCTCTAAAAAGCACTCTCGTAGACGCCCTCCTCCTTTCACCCTCACCTCGACATTCCCTTAGAGAAAGAGGCACACTCCCTTGACCCCACCTAGGAAAGTGGGGAGGGATGGCCGGGAAAGGTGGGTGCAGACGGAGGATCCAAGACGCGTTAGCCATTACTGGATGCAAGACCGAGAGTCCCCAGCCCGAAGCGTTCGTCCTGGGATCCCCCCAGTTCCAACGCGAGCCCGGGAAAGGCCCCCGTGGAGACAATCCCACCGGCGGCGACTGGCCCTCGCCCAGGAGGAACTAGCCCAGGACAGGGCGGCCGGGAGCAAGCGCCGTGCGGTGAGAAGCCGCGATTCTCCGTCCGCGCCAGGCGGAGGCTGTGCAGGGTCTCCAACCCCTGCGTGTATCTATCGCCCAAAGCCAGCTTCTCGCCGGGTGAGCTTCCGCGTGGCGTCTTCAGAGAATCCGTTTCAGTGGGCGAAGGTCCGGGCAGAGTGGCCCAACGTAGAGCACTCCCAGCCCTCGGTGCGAATTAAGCGCAGAGAGGAAAGGAGCTGCCGACTGGAGGCCCCGGGCCAAGGCGGGTGCCGGACTACCTCTGCGTCAGCACCACCGGCCTGTGCGCTAGATGGAGCGACCTCGAGGCTAGAAGAACGGATCTCAGGCCTTCGAACCCGGAACAGACCGGTCAACGCCGTGGGCTTGGAGCCCGCCTCCTGGTTCCTGCCTCTACACCCCACCTCGGCCTCAGCAAGCCTCTGGGATGGACAGACTCCCTGCGCCCCTCTGCCCACGACTCGGCCCAGTGGTGGGCCGGTAGCGACCCCGTGCACCGGTGGCTCCCAGTCTTGCCAGAAAGGACCGAGGACTGAGGGCGGGGAGCGGGCAGTGGGATGTGTTAGGATAGACTTAGGGGCCTGTCCTGCCCTCAGCTGCGCCCTCTTGTCTTCTGGCTCCGACGCCAGCGGAGCGGCTGGAGTTCGGGACTGGGAACCGCTGGAATTTCTATTTTGAATTCTGCCGTCTAGAAACAACCTTTATTCCTTTGGGCCTCAGTTTCCGTATCTGTAAAATCAAGGGGATGGGCTTTAGGTGACGGCTTTCTCTTAAGCCCAAGATTTTAGAGTCCTTTCCTCAAACACACGGGGGAGAGGGTGGCAGCCACAGTCCGGGGCGTTGGCAGGCCAGGGCCTCAAGTACGCAGCCCCCGCCCACCCCGACCCCGCGGCGGGGAACTGGGGGAGGGGCGGAGGCGGGGCTGGTTCCCTGTCCCCCCAGGCGGCCTGGAGTCGAGTGGCGCTAGCTGAGCATAAAACCTGGGACAGCCACCCCCCTCTTCCTCCCCGCCCCCCTGCCATTGGCTCCAGGGAGAGGTTGACATCAAAGCCACGGTCCTATATAAGCCAGATCCTGCAGGCGAGTCCGCAGAGGGTTAAACAGGTCCCTAGGATTCGGCGTCTACGCCGGACAGAAACTGGCAGAAAGGCTGCGGGCTGTCTGTCTCATCTTCGATCTTGCCCTAGACACTCCCAAAGTAGGCGCCCAGCGGTGTGCAAACCCAGAGCCCACGGGTGGCTCCAGCAGTCTCTGGGGCGCATGGGGCGGCGCTAATCCAGCTGGTGGCGCAGGCCCGGAGCCTCTTCAACATGAACCTCGTGGGCGGCTACGCACACCATCACCACCACCACCACCCGCACCCCGCGCACCCCATGCTCCACGAGCCCTTCCTCTTCGGCTCGGCCTCGCGCTGTCACCAGGAGCGGCCGTACTTCCAGAGCTGGCTGCTGAGCCCGGCTGACGCTGCCCCGGACTTCGCTGCTGGCGGGGCAACGCCCCCCGCCGCGGCCAGGGGCGCCG